TTTTACACCCTGTAACATACTTTTCGCGGAAACTGAATGATACTCAGCAAAGATACTTAGCACAAGAGAGAGAACTGCTATCTATACTACTTTCGTTACAGCATTAGCGTCACTGGATCGAAGTTGGTGATGTTACTGTTATCACTGACCATCAATCACTAAAATCAATACAAACTAAGTCAGAGCAGCCAACAAGAATTTTGAGATTTTTAGACTCAATAGAACACTATGGAATCCGTATAATTTATTGCAAAGGAAAGGCAAATGTGCTTGCAGACTATCTCTCAAGGCCTCCAATTAATAACAACAATAATACTGATGACAATAATGATAACGATAATGATAATGATGATATTGATGACGATAATGATAATCTAATTAATTCCACAAATTTATTTCCTGCAGGAGAGGAGGAAGGCAACGACCCATATCTGACAGAAGATGAACCAGAACTGAAACAGGTTGAATATCCAGAACAGCTAAACCGAATTGATCTTCAATGCATCTTCGAATTTCTCGTACAGAAAGAACTACCTCCTAAACTTCATTCTGATTGAGTTCGAAATCATTTTGGATTATATGACAAAAAATTGCAATTGATAAAAACCAACAGAGCAAATAAATTTGGCGACCCTCCCAAACCTCCTGGAGTTTTAATATTTCTTGAAGTACTAGAATACGAGGATTTACTTCAAAATATGAAATTACTGCATGAAAGCCAAGGGCACGCGTCAGTGGGAACAACCTTACGAAGTGCAAGTCAAAGATACTGGCACCCAGATATGACATTAGCAGTATACGAAGTTCTTCGAATCTGCCGCCAATGTCAATTGATGAAACCTCCTGACGCAAGTCTTGGAAATCTTAGACCAATCCAACCACCACCTCCTTTGACTCGGTGGGGCATTGATCACACACAGGTGGGCCAAAGAATATTGCTCAATGCAGTCAAATATGCCACTGGCTGGCTGGAGTCACGTATTGTCTTAAATGCTGATTTCGAATGTACAGTACCCTTACTTCACTATATATTTCAAACTTTTGGCACCCCAAACCAGATAATCAGCGACAACGTAAACTGTTTCACAGGAAATGAAGCAAAAAAATTCCAGAGACAATACAGATTTACCATGACTCACACCACCCCAAATCGGCCTCAGAGTAATGGTTAAGTTGAACAAGTAAATGGAATTCTAAAAGGTATCTTAAGTCGTACTTTGCTTGATAATAGAACGATGCCTTTTGCTGCGGCTCTCGCCAGACCTGTTTTCATCTTTAACAGAAGAATCTCGCCTCTAGGTTAAAGTCCACTTTTCCTCCTGTATGGCACTCAACCTCCGGAAGAGGAGATATTATATCCCATTTATGCACGAGAAGCGACCACCAGCGAAGAAAAAGAATGGGCAAATGATCTGGCAAAATCGCATGCAGCACCAATCGCTCGATCTTATGTTAATAGTGTCAAAGCATCACGGGCTAAAACACGCGAATATTTACAAGAATCTAAAGCACTACTGAGAACCTTTACATCAGGAGACTGGGTCTTGCGTACCAGGCTAAAAAGACATAAGTTTGAGCCCTATTACGATGGCCCATGGGCTATTGCTGCTTGTCATGCGAATAATACCTATTCATTAATTTCACCTGGAGGTTATAGACTTGTAAACCGATACAACGGAACAAATCTATTCCCTGCCTATGTGCGCGATGGACACCTAGTACAAAGTCTGTGGTATGGTAGCCAAAATATGCTTAACCCAGACCGAAAATTTTTGAGATCTAATGTTGTGTAAAAGGTCCAAGGAATTCGGAAGTACTCGAAAGTCGTTGACTCAATAGGAATTAATTATTTTTCCTTGGGAAGCTAAACTACTGTATCGTATCCTGCCTTTTATGTCTTCCGCGTACGCTAGTGTTAACTCCCCCCTTTGGCCATATGAGAATACTCCTTTCTCCCGGCTATCTTCCTTAGCTCCCTGAGAATCATCCTTTCTCCCGGCTATCTTCCTTAGCTCCCTGAGAATCATCCTTTCTCCCGGCTATCTTCCTTAGCTCCCTGAGAATCATCCTTTCTCCCGGCTATCTTCCTTAGCTCCCTGAGAATCATCCTTTCTCCTGGCTACCCTCCTTAGCACTATGAGAATCATCCTTTCTCCTGGCTACCCTCCTTAGCACTATGAGAATCATCCTTTCTCCCGGCTATCTTCCTTAGCTCCCTGAGAATCATCCTTTCTCCCGGCTATCTTCCTTAGCTCCCTGAGAATCATCCTTTCTCCTGGCTACCCTCCTTAGCACTATGAGAATCATCCTTTCTCCCGGCTATCTTCCTTAGCTCCCCTTTAGTCTATCCAGGGGCGTTGCTCTGCCACTACCTTACCTTAGAGACGGAGTGGTCCTAGTGACCAGTCCCAGTCCGGGCAAAGCCCGTCACATGTTGGTATTGATCAGGCTGAAAAGAGCTTAGGACAGCTTAGATTTAGGAAGAGGGATAATTGAGGATCCAGGACCATAAATATTGTATAATAATTTGTCATGTGTACCCCAGTTTTTATGCATAATGCACACTAAGCTTGAAACCTGTATATACTAGACACATCCTGTAATTTTAGAGGGGAGTCATACACCATCTTAAGATTTCACTATGTAGAAGATATAGTAGAAATCCCGAGACATCGTGACCTACGATTTCCGTATATTCACATTTTATCACCCTACCATCCTAGGAACTTAAAAGCTCACTGAGGTGCACATTACTCTGATGGCTACCGAGGGGCAACAGCATAAAATGTGACGACGGTGTATAGCTCTGCAATCCCGGGAGTTCCACGCTAGCAACCAGTGTCAATAGTATGTTATGACAGGAGATATTGACAGGGGCTATGGATGTGGTTACTGTGACTGAAGTAGGAAGCACCTGTGGTGAGTACGTGATCAGGACTGGGTGTGACGGCTGTTAAGCCGAAAGACTCCTGTAGCCTACGCTGGCTAGCGTAGGCTATGGCACAAGGGGAAGGTCTCGGAAGCCACAGAACTTCGAATATTCTCAGTGAACCTTCTGGAAACACACTGAAGGTTCATGAGGATAACAGGTGTAACGAGGACCTTCTAGGTAGTTGTAGAAGCGTCTCAATTATTCAGGTCACAGGGAGAATCATCTTGAAGGGCAGTAATTTAGAATGTATATATATGTAGACTTTACATTGAGTAATTCTCTATCCAGAGAATTATAATTAATATACTGTGCTTACAAGATCGCCCAAGCATTTTGTACTGAAACCGTGACACTGTGGTACTGAATGTATATATAAGGAAGCAATACCTCCGCAGATGGATATAGAATTGACCATCTCACTACTGTCCATTCCAACGCATCTTCTCACTACAGCCACATCAATTATATCCACACATCCACAATCATCTGCATCCATTTCAGGTATTCCTCTGTCCCCTCATGACCTCGTTATCATAACAATAAGTAAGTATTGAAAATGGAGACACAGAGTGTCGTGGACGTACGGGCCCTCCATTTCGTCTAAGTTCCCGACACGATCTAGTGTGTATTAAAGAGGTTGGATTAGCTAATATGGTAGCGCTTCAGGCTATCCATTGGAGACCTAAGCGGCTGTATGGCGTAGCCACAAGGAGGTTATTGGGTTTCTATGCCTAGATGGCGCCACACTCGTTTATGCTTTGGCTTAGGCTACGTGTCGCTTACAATATAACTGTAGCGCATACTTCCCACACTTCTAGCTTTAATGCGAACATGTCACTCTTTCAATCAACTCCCACTTACGTTCCATAAAGATTGCACCTGTCAAGAGTACAAGAGGGGTTCGCATTGCGAGGGCTCAAGACTTCTGTATTTCAAGGGCTCGACATAAGATAAAATTCAATATTTTCTGATGAGTTCTTAAGAAAACAAGACCAAGATCTGCACAACTCAAGTCACCCAAAATGCCTACAAAATATTCTTCTCTATTGTCTCGAACTTTCCAGTGTAACCTCATATAGAATGGAGTGGAGTAGAATAGAGCGGACGAGATCAGACCAGAACGGATCAGAACAGAGTAGAATAGAATAGATAATTTGGACATGGTTCCATCAATTCAGAATAGGCTCTTGGTCCGACACACAAGGGATACAGGCGATTTAGACTGTGAAAGCGATTGGGAATTCTCATCGAAGTGTGGAATTTGTATCTCTATTTCGACTCTGCAGACCCTACAGTGAGAGCTGAAGGTTCATAGGGAACACTACTGATAGGTACGGAGTTTTTATCCCATAATTACGGCAGTCAATGAAACCAAGCTATGCCATCTACGATTTCTACATGGGGAAACAAATCTATTTCAAGGTACATTCACCACAGCACATCACTCAGAGCGAAGATGAATGTTCATCTCAAGGATCAAACAAGTTCATTTCACGATCCTTGGTAGCACAGCACAAGACGGTATCACTACCTCCCGACAGAGAGCATGTTGTTGGTAGGGCAATTTTATTCTGAATCTAGCATTCCCTGGTCAACACAAACATGACACCTTTATGGGTACCAGGCTCACGATAGCTATGGGTCTAATCTGGAGACTTGGAGGGATCGACCGGTTCCATCAGCCTTGCTGAGTGTGTGTTGCGTGTGAGGAATTATCGAGTGAGTTTGGAGATGCAGGAATGTTTTTCGACCTCGTCGCACGTGACTTCCAGTTGAAAGCCCTATGGGCCTCGACCTTGCTGGTTCATTTAAAGTCCTAGTTGCTTTTGTTAGTCATATCAATATGTGCGAGGAGAATTTGAAAGGATGATTCGAGAGTGAACAAAACAACAAATCCAATTCATAATTTTAATGTTTGGAAAGAAATTGGGGATAATGTCAAAGATGCTTGTCTGAATGTTATCTAGAGGTTGAGGGTAGAAAGCTGTGTCTTGGATATAAAGCTGAATAAAAAATGAAGAGAAAAATAAAGAGAAAAATTCGGCAAGATGTTTCGGGAGAAAATTACCTAAATGAATGAACAGGGGCTGAAGGTTAGGTGGCCATCAGGATGCGTCTCGCAGGTGGCGACGCCCGCTATTTGAGAGCTCGGGCTAAAGACGACAAAATCATCTGCGTTATGTACTATTAGAAGAGGGCAGCCGTCAGTAAAGGTCCAGGTATTCGGAGGCCATCTAAATTTCATGGGTTCTATCATTACAATTGAGAGGATGATACCACACATTTCCAGGGATGTCGTAATCAAGGTGATTTAATGATAATGGATAACCAATATGTGAAAATTGGTTACTCATAATAGATCTCGCCTCCTGAACTGCTCCTTGGAGATAATTTTTTTGGTATCTGCGCCCATTCTCACACAAAAATGAGAAATTGCTGCCTGGCGCTGGCACTGATATTCGCGTTCTAGCATTAGCAATTGACATGGCTATCACAGGCGCTAAGACGTTGAAGAGCGTGGCAATGCCGCTGGTGGTGAAGAGCTTCATTGTCGAATGACCTGTGGCTGTTACTTGACAGAATCTGGCGCCGTGAAGTGCTGATATTTGTAGACTGCTGGGGATGAAGGAGAGAAATCAAAATGACTTGTTGGTAGAGTCAGAATACAGCTAGTATTCATTCCTTTTAAGCCAAAGTCTAACTTGGCAACCTATACCAGTTGAAATATTGCAATTGTGAGGCAATAGCTATGTTAATTAGCCACGCAAATTACGTCTTATTACACCTATCTGAGAAGTTGAATCACAAATTCCCGCTCATCCTCTACGGCCAATGACGCTCCTAAAGATGACCTTCACCGCTAAATATCGAGATATTGCGGGATAAGACTGGTCCTGTATCTTGCAACTATTTGCGTGAGACATGGTCGGGGAGAAGTTAGTTTAGAAGCTGGTCGTGTTCTAGGCCCTCGACCTTCGATGCACTGGCATGATTTGCTGAAGCCAAGTATGAATGGTGAACTTTGAATTTACTGCTAAGATCTGCTTCCGAAATGAAGGCCGACTATCTTGCTCATGGGTTGGAAGGGGTCGGGGTCCGTAGTAGATTAGATGGCCCACTTGAGAAACGTTAACCATCTACTTTCTACACCGCGCCGCGATCAATGAGAAAGCTTGACAAGCAGACGTCAATGTGATGCTGGCTCGGTTGGATTACTAGGTGACGGAATAGAATAGAATAGAATTAAATTTAAGTCCCTACTGAGTCTAAGACTATGAAGGACTTTAGGTGACGGAGGAAAGGCTGCTGCACTATATTTCTGCATCAAATATTCATTGCATCAGCAGCTATGCAGCTATGGCACAATATCAGAGAATTATGTACTAGATGACTCAATCTACAAGAAGAGCACTCATGCCTCGGATTTCATTTGCAGGTACCACCAGGAGGCGGACCACGATTGGCTAAATTATGTAAATAATGAGTCATAGCTAGATAGCTGAATACTCTGTGATTTAAAAAAAGAGGACTATAGCACCTTCCATCGTTGGCTGCTGTTTATACCGTCAGCTGGAAGGGCAAGACTGAACACCTGTACGCGGTGTCCTCTACGAACCTGGGAGTGAAATATTCTCCCAGAGCCAAGTTCAGTCAAATTTCGCAATATCAAAGAAGTTGGCCCACGAGGCAAAATTTCAAATTACTCCACCATGTCAATCTTTCACTCCCAAAGAGTCCGATTCTCAACTAAGCTTCATCAAGTCTACAAGTACTACCTAGTACATCCTCATCCCTATGATCACGCCTCTCGCCGACTTTCTTTGGCCTCATCCGGTCGCCAAATACACGCCCACGCCGATATTTATACCCGACGGAGGAAACAAAGCGTGGCGCACAAATCTGGGAGACTGTTCTTTGGGATGGACGTGAGAGGGATCAGGACAAGTTTACAAGATGATGCGACGGAAGGATTTAGCCTCGAAGGGAGTGCAATTCCGAATTTTGGCATAGAGTTTTACGAATTGGGCTTTGTGCGCGCCAAGACTTTGCTTGCGAGAGTGCAGTTGACACTATAAACACAAGCCAAGGATGTAAGGTGCCGTGGTCCGCCTCCTGGTGGTGTTCTCCGGTAAAGTTTGAGTAGCCTGGGCACCTACTCCACTTGGGAAGGAGACATCTCAGATCATATTTCGCGCGGAGAAAAGTTGATAGATGATGGAGGCATGTCTGGACAACTCAGGGTTTTTGAGACGTTCCCCTGGGTGGGTATTCACGAATGAGGGTTGACTTGGGGTGAAGAAAAAGCCACCATAACTTCGCAGTGGTACTTGCAAATGAAATCTGAGGCATGAGTGCTCTTCCTTTACGATGAATCATCTATTCTGTACTTTTCTTTGATATAGTGTCATAGCTAGATAGCTGCATACGCAATTAAAACCTGATGCAAAAAAAAAAAAGCGTTATGTCCAAGAATGCGGGCAACCCTAAGTCACGGGACACGGGACCCACAACGTCATGTTGGGCAACCCGAGAGACCTCGCGTAATTTCTCGTGCAAACACCGAGCCCTGCGCAGTCTCAAACAATCATGGAGATGGGCATAGCTAGTTCAAAGGGGGAAGAGTAATTCCTTCCTGGCGTTCATGAGCCCTATAATCATATGTTTGGGTCAGTTGATATTATCGAGGAGATCTCTCGTCTAGCCCCCGACACCCACTCGGAAAAAAGTCAGTCAAAATCTCTTCCAACCAAGCCAGAAGCATGGGAGAAAGCTGCTTCAAAATCAGCATCAACAACTAAGTCTCAGAGGCGGAGAGAGAATAGACCTAGTGGAGATAAAGACCTGGACTTAGTGATGAATCGAAAACGTTCACTAGAGTAAGCTCACGCAAATATCATTGTCTGACAGCGGCCAAGTCTGGTCATGGAAGCTTCTCGAAGCATGATGAACGTTTTCATTACGGAGGAATAGACTGTATGTGCAAATGTGGCCAAGACGCCCGTGGCATTTCTCGGAATGCCGGATTGCGCAAAGACCACAGAGAAGAAAATCACAGGAAACAGCGCAAATTGGATAAATATTGTTGGGAGAAAAGTCTATGGCAGTGTGTGTGTTTGTGTTTATTGTACTACCTGAGTCTATGACTATCTAGCACGTTGGGCTCCTCTCTGACCCAGGCCACATCTTGTACAGTGCTCCTATCTTCTTTTGTTACTTGAAAAATCATTGATATATTCCCCTTGATGAATAGACATTCAGCTGAGTGTTTACTCATGGAACTTTCTACCCAACCTTTTTAAAAAAAAGGTAGCAATGGAAACTGCGTGCGCGGGAAAAAGTCTTAAAAAACCTGCAGCCCCAGCCAGGCGAGGCCTAGACACCGGGACCACATGAGGTGCGCATATTCATCTATATCTCCCTTCTTTGTAACAGTCGAGGTCGCCTTGATCCAATCCGCCATCTCCGTATCGGGTGCTTGGTACGCTCCGGAAACTCATCGGATGGCTTTTCCTCCGTGATCAAGGTTTGGTGATGAGTAGAGCTCCGACCCTACCATCTGATCTGATCATGGTTAGCTTCATGATAATGGTGATAGGGGAATGTGTTGAGAGATGAAGACAATACAGACCGCGAAAGCAATTGGGAATCCTCGTCGAAGTGAGGACTTTGTTACTAAATCTCGGCTCTGCAGACTCTACAGTGAGAGCTGGAGGTTCGTAGGAGACACCACTGACAGGTTTTGAGAATAGTCCCCCCGGCCTAGGGCAGTATTTTATCGATTTCTTACCGAACACAGATGTCACGAAGACCAAACTTTCGGTATTTAATTACTGCAGGCAGCTGTTATGAGAAAGCTGTTTAGGCGCAGCGCGTTGAGTAGGCCAGCAAAAATTATCCATAATATCTTCAACTTTTATCATCCAATTTTCTGGCCTTGGAAAGATACATTAAATGATGACAAGGAGGCTTCGGACAATTCACACCCGTATCAAACGTCCTCGGTGCAGGCATTTAGCCTGACACTTTGAGTTTATCAACTCAATAACGTCGTAGCCATAAGCTGCCATGTGAAAAGAATGCGCGCAAGAGCTACAAACGATACTCGATCCTGAAGATTAATGTGACGCCCAGACAGCGGTAAACCTCGCACTATGCCCTCTCGGAATCTATCAAAGGCTGACAATAATCCCCGAAGGATTTGGATACAGAAATATCTATGGTCCAAAATAGGGACTGTCCCTACGTTTGTGGATAGTTTGATTCGGTCGGTGCTTATATTCTGCATTCGTAACTGCGGGTTCTCTATTCCTAGCGCATGTCTGTATTTAGAGTTCAAGAGAGGATGTAAATCATGATCAGTGTATATAGTCCTGGAATTTCGGGATAAATAGGAAGTGTTGGCAATTGTCAAGATCTCTAGGAGGAATTATCTTGAAGAATAAGTGCACAATTTCGGACAAGACTTTAATGATCATTGTGTAGGATATCGAAGCCTCTTTTCGATTTGAATTAATAAATAATATTGTGGACCAGAATTTGCGGAATGGAAAGGGACAAGAGGAGGAAGATAGAAACTCAAAAGATGGCGTTCTTTCAGGAGTGGAATAATCCATGATCAAGTCGGAAGAGAAGACAGCTCCCTGGCCGACCAGCATCAGCCGATCCAGAATGTTGGAAAGCGGCACATATATTTACTGATGAACAAACAGGTCGCATATAAATGAACTTCAAGGATACACCATTAAAGATCCATTGTAACCTAACCAGAGCCCAAAGCACTGTCGCCATTCAGCTAAGAAATAAGCTTATCAGGCTCAATTCTTGGCTGAACAGAAGAAAAGTAGCCGGAGTAGAAAATCCAAGCTGTCAACATGGATATGCGTCACAAAAAGTTAAGCATTTGGTCTTGGCGTGTCCGCAGTGGGCGAGTGGGAGGGGCGACTTTCTCCGACCAGCTAAAGACAGGTCTTTTGAGGCAATGATAACCAGTCCGGAAGATGTGGCTTGAATCACACAGTGTAGTGTTAGCAAAGGGTGGATAAAACAGTTTCGACTGGCAGGAGAAGTCGAGGTAGCAATTTCAGATAGAATAAGGTGATCTGAAAGGGGAGAGGACTAAATGCACACTGGCTGATCAGTGTACACTGCACTTCCTGAAGATTAACTAAACAAATTGATAGTAATATAAACAGACAGGATCAGGGGGTTTCCACCAAGTTGGTTTCCTCCTTTGTAAATAATGATAATAGTCACCTGCAAGGACCCATAGGGTGCCTGATGGAGTTGAATGGAATCAAATTTGAAAAATATCTGGTATTCTATTTACTTAGTTTAGCTCGAAAAAATGAGTCCATCATGAAACACAAATTTCCGAGGCTTCTGTGATCCCGAACTCCCGGTGATCTAGCTACAACCAGCCACTCAATTATCGCACAGTTGCATTTCGGATACCATTGAATCTAATGTTGCCCAGCCAAGCTTAATCAAATGTGATCGAATCAATCTAATTGATCCTGATGATGATACCAAGAAATCTGAATCTTCGCAC